TATATCGGTGACTTTTACTTGTAACAGAGTATTTATACGGTTATTTATATGGTATTACTACTTTTACTGAGTTTTTAAAATGTGAAAATTAGAAGTTTTGAAACAGAGATTACAGCTGATTAAGCAAAATTGAGGAGCAGAGAGACAGTAGACAGTGTTGGAATGTACTTTTACTCGGGTAAGGTTTCCAGTGCAGGAAGTGAAGTACTTTCATAGTAGTACTGTTACTACCATACTTCTTCCAGCCCTGGCTGTAGACCATGTGATGGTCCTGCTCCCTGAGGCCCGATCACAGGACTGCAGCATCAGTGCTTCTCTGGCCAATCAACGCTCATGTTTTATTAACGCGGTTCTGGTTTCTGCGGCCACAGTGATATGTGAGAGCCGGAGAACCCGACTCCGGCGCTGAGTGGACGACTCGCCTGTGTGTGCGCGTGTGCGTGCGTGTGTGTGTGTGTGTGTGTGTGTGCCTCCTAAAAAGTCCTTTTTGTTTCTTGGCGTCTGAAACGAGCAGAACTCTGATGTTCCTCTGATGTTCCTCTGATGTTCCTCTGATGTTCCTCTGATGTTCCTCTGATGGGAGGTCGCTGAAGTCGCTGACTCTTTAGTGACAGACGAGCTGCAGTCGGTGGTTCAGATCAGTGATTCACATTATTTATGGATGATTCTTCTCTCTCACTGCTGACGTGACAACCCTTCATTCTCCTCTCCTCTTTTGTTTCCTCCTCCCCTCCTCTCTTGTTTCCTCTTCTCCACTTGTTTCCTCTACTCTCTTCTCCTCTCCTCTCTTGTTTCCTCTCCTCTCTTGTTTCCTCCTCCTCTCTGCCTTTTGTTTTCTCCTCATCTCCTCTCTTGTTTTCTCCTCTCTGCCTTTTGTTTTCTCCTCATCTCCTCTCTTGTTTGCTCTTCTCCTCACTTGTTTCCTCCTCTCTTCCCATCTCCTCCCCTCTTCTCTACTTTCCTCTCCTCGTTTTTTCCTTTTCTTTTCTCCTCTCTTCTCTTGTTCCCTCTTTCTTTCCACCATTGTTTCCTCCTCCCCTCCTCTCTTGTTTCCTCCTCTCTCTTGTTTCCTCCTCCTCTGCCTTTTGTTTTCTCCTCCTCTCCTCTCTCCTTTCCTCTCCTCTCTTGTTTCCTCTCCTTTCCTCTCCTCTCTTGTTTCCTCTCTTGTTTCCTCTCCTTTCCTCTCCTCTCTGGTTTCCTCTCCTTTCCTCTCCTCTCTTGTTTCCTCCTCATCTCCTCTCTTGTTTCCTCTCCTTTCCTCTCCTCTCTGGTTTCCTCTCCTTTCCTCTCCTCTCTTGTTTCCTCCTCATCTCCTCTCTTGTTTCCTCTCCTTTCCTCTCCTCTCTGGTTTCCTCTCCTTTCCTCTCCTCTCTTGTTTCCTCCTCATCTCCTCTCTTGTTTCCTCTCCTTTCCTCTCCTCTCTTGTTTCCTCCTCCTCTCTGCCTTTTGTTTTCTCCTCATCTCCTCTCTTGTTTCCTCTCCTCTCTTGTTTCCTCCTCATCTCCTCTCTTGTTTCCTCTCCTTTCCTCTCCTCTCTTGTTTCCTCCTCCTCTCTGCCTTTTGTTTTCTCCTCATCTCCTCTCTTGTTTCCTCTCCTTTCCTCTCCTCTCTTGTTTCCTCTCCTCTCTTGTTTCCTCCTCATCTCCTCTCTCCTTTCCTCTGCTCTCTTGTTTCCTCTCTGTTGACTGGTGTTGTGATGGGACCATTTAAAGCTTCACTATTCATGAATCCTCTTCCAGTCTGACTGAACGCAGTATTTGTATTTATTGCTGCATCTTCACAGAATGTACCAGAAACATGAAGGTAGAGAGATGCACGAGGCTCCGGATCTGTTCTCCTGTAATCTCTCGGTCGAACACCCCGTCATCAGATGTCACCCGACTTTTACACACCTCTAATCTTCATCCGTCGGGGGGGAATCCCACCGTCCTGCAGAATATGTGCAGAGAGCACGCTCCTCGGAGAGGCTCCTGAGTGAGCAGAGTTTAAGAGGAGAGGTGTAGCTGTAACCAGATATTGCAGCCAACTCTGCAGGCTTCATTAATCCTCTTAGAGCGAGACCCCGATGAACCAGGTCTCCCTCTCCTTATCGGCTGCCTCCTCCTCCTCTTCCTCACGTTGCCTTGCTTCCTACATCTTCCCCACAGAGCTTATGGGTCTTAAAAACGTTGCATTCTAGTGTCGTCTCATTGCATTTTTCTCTAAACCTACAGTTGTTTTTTTGCTACTGACAGCTGTCTGACTCCACTAAGCGTCTCTCACATAAATGTGTTTTTATGAAAGCAGAACATTCTGTGAGGATGTGTGCACCTCATGCATTCCTCAAGTCATTCAAGCAATGAAAAGATAAACTGAATGAATCATTATTCTCTTAGGTTGCTCACTAATCTATAATATGTCAATTATTAATTTTAATGAATTGCTTTTGTGCGACTACTTTCATTATTCTTTTGTTCGCTCGGCTTTTGTTTGTTTTAAACTCAACATGCTTTTTATTTCC